GTTATGACATGTTTATGACAGTGTCATGACAGTCTTATTCAACCCCCTTCAAATAAAGTGTTACCGAAGTTAGTTATTTCAGAGGCAGACAATAAACTTTTCAATGCTTTGTTTTCATAACTGTTTCTTTCAGCATGCTTTTGGATTCTGTACTTTTCCACCATGAAGTAAAAGTAGCGGCTTGAGGTTAGATTCACTCGATAATCAAGCGGCATCATGTTTCTTATTCATGCCTTGTCAAAGTTAGTCCCTCTTAGTCTTACAAACAACTCATGACTTGTGTAGACCCTTTGAGTAAAACTGTTATTTAAAAATGTAGCTGTTAAATGTTAGTCCAAACAGAGAATACACAGATACATACATACTGTAAGTACATTCCTACCTCACTGTCATCGTCATCCTCACTCTAATGAAAATGAAAAACAAAATAAGTATTCATAATACTAATTACGTCATTCTGTAAACATGTAATTAGAATAATCAAAATATTCTGCCCAAAAAAATTATTTGCTTTTATGTTAAATGCTTAATTATAGATTTGGTATGAGGAATGTGTCTGCAGTCAATGTGATGTAAGACCCAACATCTAATGGTGCAACTACTATTTAGTATCAACAAGGTAGTCTAGTACCTTATATACTGTAGTTAGTATATTGCAAAAGTAGATCACAAAGGGGCAGTATTGTACACATAATGCCATTTTTTAAGCACAACTAAGTAATTATGTTACATTCAGTTTTTTTTTTTTTTTTACAAAAATGTTGTGTATATATCAAAAATGACTTAAAACAAATTATACTTCATAATTTGATGCCTTGAAATTGGGCCTCTATCTCTTCCTGTTCTTTCCAACACTAGGCCTTCAGCACATCTGGACAGATACCTCTCCGTTATGCCGTTTACAACAGTTCTAAGGAGCATTGCACTGACAAGTAGTTTAAGTATGCCGAGCTCAGAGGATTTACAGTTCTTTTGCATTCATAGTTCCTCTAATAAAGAACCAGAAGGCCTTTTATTCTCGCTTAGGTATTTTAATCTTTAGAAAAAAACAAAACAAAAACAAATTTAATCTAACTGAATTGGCAGATATGGCCCAAAAGAAAACTAGAATCCATTTAGGAGAGCAGAAGCTAGATTATAAAGTATACAGTTGATTTATTGTTGGGACAAATACAGAGAAAGAAAAATATACAACATTAGCCCAGATGATCTTGGTCAGAATTTTAACTGTTCAGATTTTTTTTCACATTTAAAACCCTGGCACTCCGGGCGATTTTAACATCTTTCATTGCATAAGATTTCACAAATAGATTTTTCAGCCAAAACAGCAAAGTTTGTGTAACAGAGGGGCACATATGATGGAAGATCTTTAGGAATGTGGCTGAGGTGTGGCCCCTAGTTATTTCTCCTTGAGGGAGAGACACAGGTTTGAATTTTCACACCGTGATTAAATTAGGTGTCCTTTTCAAAGAAAAGGCTCCCTTCTCTGCAGCCCCCTCCATTAACAGCCGACTCTCCGGGGTCTCCGAGATTTGAATCGCACAGCGAGGTGTTTGCGCTGGCCCGTTGTTGGCCTGAAGCGGCTACAGAATGAGATCCATTCCACACGACTCCCTGATTGTTGTTACAGTAACTCATACAATGTGAGCACGGAGAAAGCTGCGATGACGTCTCTGGGAATACAAACCGGCTCTTCGGCCAGAAAACGAGCCAGATTTCACAAGATTGCAGATAAAACCACTGAAAATGGCTTGTTAACACCGTTTCACGGAGCTGAGGAAGCACACACTAAACAAGAAGGGCGATGGAGCAATGAACAACGCTTACGTCTGTTATCATTTTCCCCCTGGTCTTGTTTCTTTCCCTGTGGTTGGCCCTCTTCTGTTTCTGTTGCAGCACGCGCTCTCTCGTTGTGCGGTACTCCAGGGCGAACTCACTCAGGATCTTGCTGAAGCGATGTATGCTAACCTCTCGTACGGCGTAGATAGGATGCCCCAGGAACAACAGAAAAGCGTGGAACCTGCGGATTTGCGTGGACGACAGAGATGTCCATCAATTGTGTGGTATTACAACACAAACTTTGATGCGTTTTATTGGTATTTTATGTGAAAGACCGGCACAAAATATCTCATAAATGTGAAGTGGGTGGAAAATGAGAGCATTAATCATTAATCATCGTAACTACGAACACCTTTTCACTGACAGTTGAAAAGGTTTTCACATTTTTACATGTAAGGAAGTCTGGAAAAATATGCGTGATATTATCAATTTATAATTCAAACTGGAATAAAATACGCTCTTCGGTATTCAGGCATACCTGTTGATTATTCTGCGATGCACTATTTTCAGAATTATAATTCTCTCTGCGCAGTCTTTAAGGAAGTCTGACATTTTCTGCTTCAAAGCTGGTTTCATTTCATGTTTAGCGATGACTTTTAGGTGATCCCATGATGCTTTGCACCTGCGCTCCATCTGGGCCAAATTGTCTTGAAGCTGGTCAAAATCCACCTGAGGAAAAACAAACAAACAAACAAAAAAAACTGGTGAGGAGTCGTTTTAGTGTATATGACAGATATTAGAGAACATAATGAGTTTTTAACCTTGGTCAAGCGGGTGATGGCTCCTATTTCAGAGTAGAGGTCGGTGCTGTCTGGAAACTTTTCCACCACAATGGCGCAGGCGTGGTGTAACAGGGACTGCTTATGAACCGTGTCCTTCACCTCCGGGACTTTTTCCAAATAACTCAGCTCAAAGCCTTTGGCCTACAGACCCATAAAGACACAAATAACACTGAGAATGTGGCTGGAATTAGTTCGGTGAAGTCGAGCACCAGATGGAAGTGAATTTCCCATCCGGCACAGCTAGAAAAATGGGGGCCGATTGGAGATACGCAGATTAATTAGATTGCTAGTATCAAAAACCGCGATCTGCTTAAGGCCCGAGTGTTTGTTCTCTCTACACAACAAAGCAAAAACGGGTCCAGAATGCATCACGAAAGACATAATACCAACAGGATTTTCCTTGTTCTGCAGCCAGCTTTAAATGGCTTACTGCAAAAGTATAAATGCAGCCATTATTTACGGGAAACTTCTCGTTTTGATGTTGATGACTTATGTTTCCCCTTTTGGATGTTTGCCTTCAGTGATCCCAGAGGCTCATACATGCAAAGTACTCCCACAGAGGCGCAGATGGGCTCACAGGAACAAAGAAAAATCTCACGTTGTGACAAAGTGAGAGGGAAAAAAAACCCCATAGTTCACACACACAGGCAATCCAGATGAACATGAACTTCCAAAAAAAAAAAGGAAAAAATAAATAAATAAATTACACAACTCTCCCTCCCCTTCTTCCTTCTCAGCAGATGGAGCCAGACTCAACAGAAGCTGCTGCAGTCAGGCAGCGAACTCATTCACACACACACACACACACACACACACACACACACATGCACACACCCACACGCACATGCATACTCCAGAATTATTAATCCCAAAATAATGGGTTTGACTGAAAGTATATGGTAGGAATGCTAACTGAAATTGAGTACACAGAAGGACGACTAGAGAAACACTAGTATTATCAGAAGCATTCCTTGGATTGCTTTCCTTACGTTTGAGCCATTGAGGAAGTTCCCAATGGCCAGCAGGGTGGTGAGGATGTATCTGAGGGTCTTGTTTTTCTCAAGTTGGTCCATTCCTTCCTTTAGGTCCTGCAATGGCTCTGCCACTTCCTAAAAAATGCAGGAAAAAGAAATTCACGAGTACGAAAAGAACTTACAGCGCTAACGTACAGAGAAAGAAAGAAAGAAACAAAGGAAGACGCAAAGGAAGCCTGCATACCATCCAGGTTGCGACAGAAAAATGCCGTGTGTTTTAGAGAGAAAAACCTAAACTTGTTCAGCTGAATGCCTGTTTCATCTGCCCCGGATTAGGGGGAGCAGGAATGTGTCCGACCTTCTCAATAAGCTCGTAGTCCATCTTGAAGGCCCACAGCTGCAGGCGTGCTGACAGCTCCGTGATGGAGGAGAGGGTGAGCAGGAACTGCTCGGCGCTGCCCAGAGGAACGTCAGGGTTCATCAGCTGAGCCTCCTGGATCCTCTGCTTCTCCTCCTCTGTGGGGATCATCGTGAGGATTTTCTAGTGCAGAGGAGACGTTCAAACTTATGCAAAATTTGTCTCTTGTCTGTCTGGATGAAATCTTGGCATGACATGTCAGAGGAGTCGGTGGGAAACATTGATTCTGATATTTCTTAAAGCCGTTTCCTGCTTTCCCACTGAACTTTTGCCCCTGCTTTTGTTTTCTTACTGCAAATACCTCCAGAGGGGAAAAAAAAAACGATGGAGATGAATCTTCCTGTCTCCTACAAATGAACTCAGGTTATGTAATACCAAAAGTATGAGGTCTCTGTTACCTGCGACTGTAAACTGCAGCAGATTCTCTACATTTTGTTGTTGAGATGACCTAAAAATAACCTTTTTTTTTTTTATAATTTCTCTTTTTAAATATATTAAAAAAGATAACAATGTGAAATATCACAACAGAAAGCTTGACGGTTATTCTTAATGAGACCCATTCACAGTTTGAAACCCACCGACACTACATTCAGAATACATGCGAGTTTTGATGCAACTAATTAAAGCTTACCTCAATGCCTTCCTTGTTTAGTGCATACTCATCAAAATTGAGAATAGCTGTCTTGATTGTGCGTGGAGGGGGCAAGACAGTCAACCCGATATTTATGGCGTTGCTGCGCTTCGAGTCCAGGACAATGATTTCCTGTCGTTTGCCTTCAACCGATGCTTTCTGGGAGATGTAAAGAGAAGAAGAAGAAAACAGTGTGAGTCGACTGCTTGTAAAATCCCCTACTGCTCTTTACAAATGATCAATTTTTGTTAATGTAGTTTTTGATTATCTATCACAGCTTCACTAACAATTTCTGCTGTCAGTTTTGTAGCAATTTTTAATGACCAATTCTTTCGCAACTCTCCATTACAATGGAGAGGGTTTACAATACAGGGTTTAATCTGGTTTACTGCAATGCAAAACAACCAACAATTATTTTACGCAGCATTGCTATTTCAGTTCCCAAAGAGGAAACCCACCAGATCTTAATCCGACGTAGCATCACTGTGGCATTTTAAATTGCATGACGTTTCTGAGTAATTTAAATGATTTGAAAAGCATACCTTTGTCACTGACAACTCCTTGGATTTGGTCTCAAACAGCTGCTCCAGTTTAGACGTGTCCAGTTTAACCGGCTCCAGTTTGGACCACAGGGACTCCTTGCAGAACTTGTGATTCTTGCGCTGCCAGTCCACAGGACGCACCTCGTTCCAGAAGAGACGGATGGTCTTCTTCTTCTTCTGGAAGAGAGGGGCGTCCCCTCGACCCAGCTGAGGAGAGGGCGGTGGTATGGGAGCCATAAACGGAGGTGGTGGAGGCATCATCCTTCCCGGGATGGGAGGAGGCGGGGGACATCCGAACAAAGGTGGAGGTGGTGGGAGTGCAGAACTGCACGGCGGAGAAGGTGAGTTGACCACGCCCTCCAAATCCAAAATGTCCATGTCATCCTCGTCTCTGAGATCTGTGAAGTCCATTTCCTTGATGCGCAGCTCCCTGGGGGACGCCATCAGCTGATCCCAGATGTGATCCGACTCTTTCTTCGGGGCTGAGCCGGACGATTTGTCAGCCTGCTGTTGCTCTTTGGGAGCCTCCATCTCCAGCGCACACGTCAGACCCTTGACTAAGTCCCCAAATCTCTCCGCCACCGCCCTGACGTTGCCGTGGTTGTCCAGGTTGCCCACCTCTAATTTTTTTACGCAGTCCTCTCTCGCCTGCCTATTCGCCTCCAGTGTGGAGATCCGGCTGGCCAAACTGGCCACAGAGTCACTCTCATCCGTTTCCTTTTCACGTTCACATCGTTCCTTCTCTGACTCTCCGCCGTCCCTGTCATCCTCTGAGACGGCCTTCTGGGCGTAGAGCATGTCCAGCATGAAGCGCTTGTTGTTGAGAATCTTCTTGCATTGGTCATTCACATCCGCGTCCTTTAAACAGTGAGTCCATTGGCCTGTTGATTGGAAAACAAATATACTGTTGTTAATTAGAGCAACATAAAAAATATTCATACCCCATGATCTTTTTTATGGTTTGTCAAATCAATATTAGATTGTATGTGATAGACCAAAAAACTAAGTACTAAAGGTTACAAGGTTTAAATTTTTATTTTTTTCAAAAGACCAAGTGCCTTCAAGAGTTACCAAAATAGCATATAAAATATTATTTAGTGTAAAACGAGACTGGCGCAAACACAAACCTACAAAGTCACAGCACAGAGGAGTAAGTCCAGGTTCGCTACCTGAGTCCGTGTCTTTAGTTAGCTTCTGCTCTCGCTCCTCCCTCTCCAGAGTGCTGCTTGTGGAAGAGATGCTGGATGCAGAGCAGTTGTCTTTTTCATTCACTTCCTCGTTCTGTCTCTCTTTCTCGCTCAGCATCACGCTGTCCTCCACCTCTCCATCTGCAGGCTGTAATTTCTCCTCTAACTCCACCTCCACACCAACATCCTGCTCTCCAACCTCTGGTCCATCTGCCACCTCTGCCTCCTCAGCTCCAACCTCGCCAACAATCCGCTCCTGTCCTGTGAGAATCTCCTGCTCTTGTTTCTCTTCATTCTCTTTCCCCGACTTCTCTCTCTCATCAAGCTGCGCTGCGCCATTCTTGCCACTCTGCGTCGTAGCAAAAATCCCTGCATCCGCACACGTCTTTGTCTCAGTTTTGCTATTTGCTGTTTGGGCCGAGTCTGATGCTGGTGGTTCAGGTGCTGGACTCTTGGTTCTAATCTGTGGGGTGAGGTTTGGACTTGATATGTTTTCTGTTCCTGGAAAGAAATCAGAATGTAGAATTAGCTCAAGTACTAACCTTTTTATTCATAATTTGTGACAATATGGACAAATGGTCATTTTGAGCCAGAAGCTGCTAAATGAAACTGATTTCAGATCGTTTTTTTTTTCAAACTTTCTTTGGAATATCACATGATATCCTTCAGTTTTTATCTCCAAAAGCCAGTACAATGCCAGTCAGGTCGTAACCCATGCTCATCAGTGGTATGACCTTTTTATTGATGCATTTGAACCCATTTTTGTTCAAGGTAGCATGTAACATACAGACTGAAAGAATCAGAAAAACAATAATTAGGAGCCCCAAACTGAACTTATTTTTGATTTTCTTAAACCCCAAACGACTCCACATTTTAAACAGAGAGTCAAATGTAAGCATAAACTGCCAATAACATCTTAGTAAGTTGTAGGAAAGATGTACACTTTTTATAGACATGAACAAATTTCTGGCATCATTCTGTCCGGATATTTGACCACTCCTGTTGTCACATTTGGTGTAGTTCATGTAAGCTGGTTAGTTTCCAACCACATGCCTGGAGTCTTAGAATAAAGTTGATATCAAATAACTTTTAGAAGAAGTTTAACACTAATTTGCTTTATACATTTTGCAAGTGTGTTTTGTATTTGAATTCTCCTGTTTGAACCTTCAGACTGGTACAAATTTCAACCATCTCACCCAAACTGTCAATAACCTGGAACCTGCAGAAACACTGTTCAGGGAGACGCAAATTTAGCATGAATGCAATCTTGTTTAACCAAGAAGGAAGTGCCTGCTTCAAAGTTTCCTGAAAAGTACAGCTGTTCACGTGAACACGTCAAACGGCTTCCAGAGAACAGCTTACTGGGGAGGTTAGATGAAAACTCAGTGGTTTGACCACAATGTCAAGAGGTTACGCTGGAAGGAGTCCAGGTAAGAAAGCAAGATTTGGTCATTCCCCACCAACTCTTGAGAACCAACAGTAAAAAAAAAAACAAAAAAAAAAAACATTTTTTTTACCCGACATCTGCTCTGCAGCCATGACTGTCTTTTCCTGTGAGATGGAGGGTGATGCTGTGGAGCAGCGGGAGACTGAGCGGTTGGTCGGAGTTGGACTCAGACACAGCGTGATTTCTGTTCGTCCTCTTGTCGGCACTCGAGGGCGCTCCCGATCGAACTCCTCAGCAGCCAGCCTCTCCACTGCTTTGTACCTTCGAAACAAAATGAAGACTTCATCCGTCTCTGCATACAGCAATCTGATTTCAATTGTACCACTCATGTGCCATTTATTCAGTGTGTGTGCAGGTCTATTAGAGTTCGCCCTTGCAAATGAACCTTTTCAGATTCCACTGGTCACATGTAATTTATTTGGATGTTTTGTGAGTTCTCAAAACAAAGTAATGCAAAACTGTGAAGTTGAAGGAATGTGCTGCATGGTTTTCAAGGTATTTTCACAAAACCAAGATGTAAGGAGTTGTGTGGTCAATATTTGTCTTCAGTTCCCGTCACTGCAATACATCAAAATTAAATTGTCCTCAAAAGTCACCCAATTAGTAAACAGAGTCATCCCATTTGTAATTCAATCTCAGCATGAAGAGAACAGTTCTATGAAGAAAACGGAGGATTATTAGCGAGCAGCAGTGAACCAATAGCATCAGGAAGACCAAGAAACACAGCAGACAGTTTAGGGAGAAAGCAGTCCAGAGGTTTAAAGTTGGGTTAGATTACAAAACAATATCCTAAGATTTGAACTTGTCAAAGACAATTTTTCAATCCATCAGCTGAAAAAAATATATGGCACAAATGGACCTCCGCCAAGACAATGAGAATCAGTCCAGAGGCTGATGGTAATTCTGCAGGAGCTTCATGGATCTATAGCTGAGGTGGGGAAGTCTTTTGACAGAACTACTAGTATTTGGACACTCTGCAAAGATTTAAGAAAACCAGTACTTGTAGTCGCAGGTAACAAGCAGCACATGCTGGTTCTTGCTTCATTGTGGTCTGTTTTAAGTTAATTTTAGATTTGTGTTGTGTATAATACTTTATCTTGCCATGATTTTTTTATTGACTTTTAAACTGTTTACATGTTCTCAAGGTGCCATTTGGGAATGTACACTGGAAACGATCAAAGGCTACGAATATTATAGTGTTCAGTATTGTTCATGCTTAACATTTGTCCGTATGCAAATACACAAGATTTAAATAAGAGAGCTATTTTTGAAAGGAAGTTATAAAAGAAACCTTCTTCACAGTTTGCCACGAGTCAAGTGGAGGATGCAGTAAATATTTGGAAGAAGATCCTGGACAGATGAAACTAAAAGTGATCATTCTGGCCTGTATGCAGACAACAATATGCATAATCCTGAACCCTGCAATTGAAGACGGTGGTGGTAGAATCACGCCGTGGTCATTAATGGTATTTTGCTATTTTGAAAACATTAGGCAATAATTACTTTATATAGAAAGACACAAACGAAAAAACATAAAATCAAAATGAAATACATTGAAAAAATTTTGAAAAATGTTTTAAGTTGTATTAGTACTTTTGCTTGTCGCAGTGCAAAAACTGGTATCTTTTAACTGCATAACTAAATTCGGTGTCGTTTAGTCCAGTTATTTATTTCAGAGTGAAATGTTTTCCAGGGAAGTATTGCATTAAACACATCCAGCCATTGAAGGAATTACATTTTTGGAAGTATGACAGCCTTACGTAACATTGATTGTATCTGTAAATATTAGCCATTTAGCCCATCTCATTCCAGGAAAATTATGGAAAAATGGAGCCATAATCCCATTAATCACAGACTTGACAAATGACATCCACCTTTTTTTTTTTAAACCGCCGTGAGGAATTTTGGCAACTACTCGCTAATGCAGAGTTTCTTTTCTAGGCTTTCTTTCAAATATTTGAGCTGCATGTCGAAGTTCACGGAGTTGAGAACAGGATAGTAACACAGGCAAACAAAAACACGGATCCATTTGAAACAGAAACAAGACGAACTCACCTTTCCTCTCTGACTTGTTTCGCTTCTTCCCTCTTTTCCACATGATCACGACTGAGACAAAAAAAAGAAGCAACCGAGCTTCACAAAAGGCAATTTGGCACTTGAATGATGTATATATTACTCAGCATGAAGTCTTAGACTGCTATGATGTTAAAGATCTGGCATATGGCTTTACAAAAGGATAGGATGTGACATGTACAGATAACATATGTGTTTACAGAGTCGTCCTGTAATGTTTCAGAGTGCAATTATCCTCATAAATAAAACTGAGCTCCTCTCAGGCTCAGGAGAGATTTATGAGCACCTCAGCTGAGCTAAGACAAGAGCCACCTGTAAAACCTAGCTGCCAGTTGCGAAGAAACAGTGGGTGCTCTTCAAGATGGAGCCCTGCTGGGTTTTATCTAACAGGCAAGGCGAGACTAACTTGAATCGATTTCTCTCTTCTCTTTCGATCCTCTGCAGACGCTCCTCTCTTTCCAGACGTCTCTTCTCTCTCTCTGCAGCCAGAGATTCTTGATGTTGCCTGTATGAAGATGTCAGCAAGCTCCCGATAGCAGTCCTGCTTGCAAAAATGTAAAGAAAAGGAAAAAAAAAAAAAATATGTGAAGGCATTAATAAATATGTAGCGATGAGTGTTCCTTTTATCAAGTGACATCTAATTTCACTGAAGCTACAAAGAGTGTTGACGTGTTCACCTGTCGGACTTGGAGTCAGGTGCGGAGGGCGTTGAGTTACTGAGTTGATGGATGGGCGATGTTGGAGTTGGATGTCTACTGATGCAACTTTTTCTAGAAAGGAAGAAGAAATGAAACAACTCAATGTTGTTTGTCTTTCCTATCTTTTACCAAAATAATATACAATAATATACATATACATGATACAAAACCGAGATTTTTAGAAATTTATTTTTTAGAAATAACGTTCAGTAATTTAATTCAAAAGGTGAAGCTCATGTCTTACATTAGACACTCACAGACTGACATATTTCAAGTTGTGTCTTCTGTTAGTTTTGAGGATTATGGCTTACTGCAAAGCAGACTAAACTCAGTTTCCAGAAATCTGAAACGTTGCCTATTCAACTGTTTGGCTGAAATTTTTAAGGCATGAACTGTGACTGGAGCGCTTCAAGAGCCACCCCACCGAGACTTATCCTGGATATGAGCTTCAGCTTTGGCTTCCCCTGTATCCAGGCTCCTGAGCATCAGGAGAGGGCTGGAGAGTAAAATAACTGGACAGGTTGTTCAGTGGTCCAAAGTTATCTTTTCAGATGAAAGTCAATTTTTCATTTCATGAAAATGAAATTAAGACTCTCTAACATGGAGAAAGAAGCAGAGAGGCACAAAACCCAAGTTGCTTGAGGTTGAGATTAAAATTTCCTCAGTGAGTGATGATTTGAGGATCCGTATCAGTTGTTGTTGTTGGTCTACTGAGTTTTATCAAGTCCAAAGTCAGTGCAGTTGTCAACCAGGAAATTTTAAGGCCCTTAATGTTTTTTTCTATGCTGACAAGCTTTATGGATTTGATTGTCAATGAGGACTGGGGCACCTGCCAACACTGTCAAAGAATACCAATACTCACTTTAATAGCAATGGTATCAGTGAGCTCGGTATTGTCAAGACAGGAAAAAAAAAAAAAAAAAAAACAACAAAACCCAACGTTGCAGATTAAAGCAACTTGGGCTTTCATTTCACCTCAACAAGCTGATGGCAGATCAAAAAATAATGCAGTGGTTCATCCAAAAGGGGTTTTGGCAAATTAAAAAGTACATTTAGAATACATGGACAAACTTTACAGCAGGTTGACATTTTTGTAATGAAAAAAAAAAATCATTTAAATGCTTTTATGTATTCAAATTTCTGAAAATTGAATTCTGGGTTTTCATGAGTCATGATGATCAAAAGTACTCCTGACTTTTGCTTTATGAATCTAATGAATGAAATCAATTAAGCTTTGAATGACATTGTAGTTTACAGAGTAGTTGTTTAGTCACATTGTTTAGTGTTGCAGGTTTCAAACTTGAGAAACTAGTGTCAGCATTTCCATACATCCTCGTTACGCCTGACCTGCCGACTCCTGATCTTACCTCTCAGCCCAGCAGGGCTTTCTAGCTGAGTAAGTTGTAGAAGGTGGAGTATCTGTCAGACTGAAGATGGAAGCAAGAGAAAAGATAAAGTAAGTCAGAGAGAAAAAAAGATCAACTGTTAGCCATCCAGTCAAGTTAGTTAGAGAGCAGATGGATCATACAGAGTTTAATGGCCACAAGAAAACAAAGCAGACAGGAAGAACACATCTTTGTCTGTAGATTGAATCAATGAGCTTCTTAGAAAGCAAAAAAAGTACAGCACATAATTACAGTACTATAACGTTACCATCTGTCACTTTAAATTTAAGTGTATTGTTTATAATATGTTTTATATTTGGGAATAATATCAGCTGCAGTGTAACCTGGGGTATGCTAAGAAAGTACAAAATCTACTATGACTGGTATTACACCAACGAGTAGATCAGTGGTCAAATTCAACAAATTTTCCCTGGACTGGCTTTAGCTGATACTAACGCATCAAATAGGCTGGAAGACTTGCTTTTAAGTTTACTATGGCTGAGAACATCAATTTTGCTAACAGACCACAGGAAAGAAAATATCTAGATGTCTGTCGTTCTGTTGGATGCAAGTGAACCTAAATGGGTTCAACGTTTTCACTGGCAAGTGTCATGAACTGGGGAGCTAACGCAATATATATTCAGTGTAACCGATCTGGCATTTAAAGTGCTAAACTGTGTAATAATGAGGGCAGATTTTAAATGATAGTGTCATTAGTTGTGCTTTTATGCTTTCTGAAGTTTCACTGGGAGAAATACAGGCTTTAGTGGTGATGTGCTTCACAATGAGTAATGAGCCAGTTGTAATGCAAGTCCCTCATCAAATCTAAAAGACACCTTGAGTCTGGTTTAACTCAACGAACGAAGGCACACGAAAAGGGTTCCAGTCTGACTACTACTGAGCATGTGCAAAGCCTGTCTTTCCAACTATAGCACCAGACAAGAAAACGGTGGCAGAAAGGAACACACCAAGGACTAAAGGTCCTCTTTTTAGGTGCAACGGACACAGGAGAGGCTGTCCTGGTCTTGATGCTGAGAAAGTCTCTCTGCCCTTCAGGGTCACTGGCTTTAACGAGGAGGTTGGTCATACACTTTAAGTTCAAACACATGTTAGGAGTGTCTGCTACCTCTGGAGCCACACTATAGGAGGACAAAATACAAGAAAGCAGGAGTCCAAATAGAAGGAGTGAGGCAATCAGACAGGGAAGATGCTAAAAGAAGAAGAAAAAAAGAGGCAATTGCATCCTGCTTGGCTGGCCTCAAATACCTGTGAGAGCCCTGTCTAGAGGGTTCAGTGTCTGGTTGGCTTTCATCATCTGCCTCGGCCTCCTCATCCTCATCCTCCTCTTCTTCCTCTTCCTCTTCTCTGTGGTCAGAGGAGGGGCCGAGGGATGAATGGATGAAAGGGAGGATGTCGGTGGGCAGGAGGCGGGGAGTGGAAATTTGGAAGGAGACAATGCGAAACCGCAGATGGTTTGCCCAGGGGGGGAGACAGCGCACAGAAATGAGACACACAAAACATGCTTGTCAGACAAAAAGCGCCAATAGGCATTAGTACAGAAAAGCAACAAGCAATGGAAGATGTTAGCAGATTGAGAAAATTAGTGGAATGACATAAAAAAAAAATAAAAAAAACAAGCAATGGATTTTTTTTACATGCAACAACTCAGGGTACATGTGAATACAATTAAGTAACATACAATATCCCTCAAAAGTATAGACACTAAAAGTTAAAATGCAGGGATTCTGTGACGCAAACAGTGACACTAAGACCTGCTTCAAATGTTTTCCCGTCTGTACCATGATAGACGGTTAGGTAAGAGGTATTTAAAAAGTCCTGCTGTGTTGTGTACAAGGAAATATTAGACAATACTGAGGAAATAAATGTAAACTTTTGAATTTGAAGACAGCTTTAAAACTAAAACAAAGCAAATAAATAAATAAATAAATAAATACATTTTGTTGATAACCATTCTTAACCTAAAACGGGAAGCGCTTAGTCTGATTTACAGCCTAACAAGAGAGAAAAAGTAAATATACCCAATTAACTTTAATTAGCTATTTAATCCAACAATGATACATTTATTCCATTTACTGTTTTGTTCTAGTTTAATTTTATATGACAAACAGTATGTTATATAAAAGGTGAAAACAAAATTGTAAAGAACAAATCTGTTTATCTCGTAAAAATCTGCCCTTTAGGGGTGAGTATACATTTGAGACTCACTTTTATAAAAAAAAAAAAAAAATACAAGACTGATGGAATAAAGAGATACACTTTGACAAAATCAACTGATTAGGTTTGATTAAATAACCAGAGATGGAGCAGTAGACAACATCTTGTCTGGTTTATTTGACAGTGTGGGATCATCACACATAACTCTTCCTCCAGTTTGCTGTTTGGATCTCTCCTGGTTGTCTGGATTTCATTAACAATATGGAAAATTGTGCTCTTCAAAGGGAGCTTGAATTTCCTGTGGTAGGGTGGAAGAGGATAGGCTGGTATCGAATGGCCTGCTGGATTGAATTTAGCAAACCTGAAGACCTGAGTGCAGTCGAGAACACGGGTTGGTATTCTGCTTTGAATTGCTTTAACATTGTACCTTAATGAGACAGACCGTCAAAATCAAAGTGGTTTCTTTTTACTGCACGGTCCAGTAAAAAAAAACAAAAGAAAAACAGTTGAATCAGTTTTGAATTCTGAGTGCTTTTAGTAATAAAGGTTCGCTTGATATGAAAACACACGGGGTTGTGTAGTTAAGGTTCAAAGCAGTCTCTGAAGTAAATATGACATAAAGCAGAGCATAGATAGATTATATCGTGAGTTTATATTTGATTCCCGCTGCTATCCGCAGCAGAAGAGAGGCTCTGACATGAAGAAAATTAATATAATCTTACTTTGTAGCAGGAGGCTCCTATTTCATTCTTTAAATTATGATCTCTGGCTGGAGAAAATGCATCTGCTCCAGACTGGACCTATAAATCTGAAAAGTGTACCCATATCGTTCTGGAATATTGTTCACCTTTCCCCTTCTTCTGCTCCTTTTGCCTCACCTTTCGCTGATGTCCTCAACTCGGTGGCCACCAAAGGGAAGGAAACTACTGGAATGGGAGTAAGAGTTGCTTGGAGACGCCGAGCTGGAAGAATGGTCTTTGTTATTCTGCAGCGAATGTCTCCGGCTCCGTCTTCTCTCCAGGCCCCGTCTCTCATTGGTACCACCGACGCTAGCTCTGCGGCGGTCCTTCCTGCCACACGGAGGCAGCTGGGCTTCGTCGTCCCCGTCCTCGTGGCGAAGAATCGTCTGCATCAAAATGTCATTATAGTTTAACAAGGTGACGAAACACTGGCGATGAATCGATACCACTATGCTGAGGTGTGGATATTTGTCTTCAGCGAGTGACTTCTTACCTCATAGATGTTGAACTGTTCAACAAGATCAAGGTCAGTGCCCTTCCTGCCCAGGTGTCTCCGGGCCGTCGCTTCAATACCTTGTTCCTCAAGACAGTCCACCATGTCGTAGTAGGAGTCCTGATCCGGAAGGGCTGCCAGAGTCTGAGAAAAAATAAAAAATAAAAAACAGTCGGTTTGAAACGAACCACTAAATGACATAAACATGTCAGGGATATTTGCTGCTTTGTCAGACTTGTTTCTATGAATTTATTTAGCCACATTTATTGGGAACTGAAGTTGAAATAGGAATAGCTGTATCTGTAAGAGTCTTCTGACAGACAAGAAAAGAGCAACAGTACTTAAATTGTTTGAAGTAGTTCACATTAACAGTTGAGGTAAGCTCAATGGTGTCAAAGTAAACAAAGGTTTTAAAAAGTTAATATCTTTCATCATAGAGGAATGAATGACAGTCATTTAACAGTTTAAAGTCCTGACTGGTGGTCTCTCCAGGGTGACCAGCCCTCTCACTCATCTACAGCTGGAGAGGGGCACCAGCACCCCTCCCAACCACAATGTGATAAGGGTGTGAGGAAATGAATGGATGGAGTTTAAAGTCCTATAAATGAGCTGCCAGAAAATCTTGCTGTTGGGGCATAATGCTGCTCTTCCTCCGCCTGTTGCTGCACACTACCGATCAGCTGACTGAAAGAAGGCCACGTCTCCTGTTGCTCAAATGCAAGAAAACGCAATCCAGAGATATTTCTAGAGAAAAACAACAGACGGTCATGGTTGTCGAAACTAATGGAGGAGCCCTCATTATTCTTGTCATCTGATGTAATCTGACAGAGGTTGTGCACAGACAAGTCTTATCTCATTACAGAGTGAATGCTTCTTTGCAGGAAACACAAACTCTGTCCTCATTTTGATAATTCCTGAAAATGTTAACATTTGATCACAATCTATCACCAGGTGGAGACAGCAAAGCACACAACATATCAGGAAAATTAATGGTTTACCAATAATAATTAAAGTTGTATTGACGTACCTTATTAATGAGCGTCATGGCAAACACCAGCAGCTCCGTATCCACTCCATCCTTCTCCTCCAGGATTTCCATGACATTTGACCAAAGTTTTTTACCTGTACCACCAATGTCATGCAAGGGTTAATGCACGATGAAACCCAAATAAAAACATCTGATCATTTACAAAGAAGGTGGGGGGGGAAAAAAATCTATACCGATCCATCTGTCTGTTACAGGGCAAAAAAAAAAAAAAAAGATAAAAAACAACCCCACCAAAAATTTAA